AAAGCGCCGCGTCAAGTAAATACAAATGGATGGTTTTATGGTGTAACGGTTAGCACTCCAGACTCTGAATCTGGCGATCTGGGTTCAAATCCCGGTAAAACCTTAGTATATGATAGTTATTCCATTGGAGAGCAAAAGCGCCGCGTCAAGTAAATACAAATGGATGGTTTTATGGTGTAACGGTTAGCACTCCAGACTCTGAATCTGGCGATCTGGGTTTAAATCCCGGTAAAACCTTGGTATATGATAGCTATTCTATCGGAGAGCAAAATCGCCGCGTCAAGTAAATACAAATGGATGGTTTTATGGTGTAACGGTTAGCACTCCAGACTCTGAATCTGGCGATCTGGGTTCAAATCCCGGTAAAACCTTGATGTATGATAGCTATTCTATCGGAGAGCAAAATCGCCGCGTCAAGTAAATTCAAATGGATGGTTTTATGGTGTAACGGTTAGCACTCCAGACTCTGAATCTGGCGATCTGGGTTCAAATCCCGGTAAAACCTTAGTATATGATAGTTATTATATCGGAGAGCAAAAGCGCCGCGTCAAGTAAATACAAATGGATGGTTTTATGGTGTAACGGTTAGCACTCCAGACTCTGAATCTGGCGATCTGGGTTCAAATCCCGGTAAAACCTTGGTATATGATAGTTATTATATCGGAGAGCAAAAGCGCCGCGTCAAGTAAATAGAAATGGATGGTTTTATGGTGTAACGGTTAGCACTCCAGACTCTGAATCTGGCGATCTGGGTTCAAATCCCGGTAAAACCTTAGTATATGATAGTTATTATATCGGAGAGCAAAAGCGCCGCGTCAAGTAAATACAAATGGATGGTTTTATGGTGTAACGGTTAGCACTCCAGACTCTGAATCTGGCGATCTGGATTCAAATCCCGGTAAAACCTTAGTATATGATAGTTATTCTATCGGAGGGCAAAAGCGCCGCGTCAAGTACATACAAATGGATGGTTTTATGGTGTAACGGTTAGCACTCCAGACTCTGAATCTGGCGATCTGGGTTCTAATCCCGGTAAAACCTTGGTATATGATAGCTATTATATCGGAGAGCAAAAGCGCCGCGTCAAGTAAATAGAAATGGATGGTTTTATGGTGTAGCGGTTAGCACTCCAGACTCTGAATCTGGCGATCTGGGTTCAAATCCCGGTAAAACCTTAGTATATGATAGTTATTATATCGGAGAGCAAAAGCGCCGCGTCAAGTAAATACAAATGGATGGTTTTATGGTGTAACGGTTAGCACTCCAGACTCTGAATCTGGCGATAAAACCTTAGTATATGATAGTTATTCTATCGGAGAGCAAAAGCGCCGCGTCAAGTAAATACAAATGGATGGTTTTAGGGTGTAACGGTTAGCACTCCAGACTCTGAATCTGGCGATCTGGGTTCAAATCCCGGTAAAACCTTGGTGTATGATAGCTATTCTATCAGAGAGCAAAATCGCCGCGTCAAGTAAATTCGAATGGATGGTTTTATGGTGTAACGGTTAGCACTCCAGACTCTGAATCTGGCGATCTGGGTCAAATCCCAGTAAAGCCTTGGTATATGATAGCTATTCTATCGGAGAGCAAAATCGCCGCGTCAAGTAAATTCAAATGGATGGTTTTATGGTGTAACG